TAGGAGAATGGCGTGAACCTGGGAGGCAGAGTTTGCAGTGAACCGAGATCGCGCCACTGCACTTTAGCCTGGGCGACAGAGCAAGACTCCATCTCAATTAAAAAATATATATATATATATATCCTCTTGGAAAAAGAAATACCATTACTAGGAAAATCTTTTACCTCTAAGGTTTTATGTCAATAAACATTAAACCTATATAAAAATCTCCGTTTCATGGCTGATACCCAGTTTTTTATGCCAGATAAGATTTAGAAAACTAAATCTCACAGATTTGATGCAATATTACTTTGCCTTACAGAGAAGAATGGTTGATGGATAGGTTTGTTGGGAGCTAGGGATGCTAGTGATGCCTTGAGAAACTTAAATAAACCCTAAATGAAAGAACAGAAACTGCCATACCCAGCAGCCTTCTGAGTAGGTCATTCAGCACAAGTTCACTATTTACAAGAACACCACATTAAGTTACCTTGTTGATCAATTGGTTTCTTCCCCATACATTCTCAGCTGCTCACTGTGCTTGCAGCATTCTGCTATCACCTTTGGGAAAAAAAATGCTTTAAGAGTATTTATGCTTTTGAAGCACTTCTTACTAGTTCATGTATGTACATTGTTTCCTTTGATTACCCCCCACCCCCAAACACCAATATGTTATGAGAGAGACAGTGAAGGTGTTATTATCCCAATAAGGTGACTTAACCAGAGTCCCAGGGCCTGCAAGTTGCTAAACCAAGGCTGGAATTGAGGTCTTCTTTTTCTGAGTTTAATGCTTTTCTACAGTAAGAGAGAAAGAACGTGAGGAATATTTATATCTAAAATAAAGCTAGGTATTTATCAAAAAGCTTACTCTAGCTATGGAAAATATTGATACCCAGTTTGCTAAGGGAGTTAATACCAATTTAAAAACCTTCCTCTTGGCTAAGAGTGCAATTATAGTGCCCTTCAACAGATAAATTTTATCAGACACTTACTATATGCCAGACACACTGCTATGGGCTTTACTCACATTATCACACTGAAACTCTGAGAGAAGCTCTGAGCAATAGATTAATTTTCCCAAGGTGAATATCTAATAAGTGGTGGAGCAGGGATGCACACAATTCTGTCATACTGGAACCCATATATACTCTTGAGGTGTTTTTTCCACTGTCTTTCTCCATAGTCTTTTTCTATTTTCCTAACTTACTAGAGAGGAAAAGGGGCAGGAGGGCCAGAGGTATTGTCAGCCACACACAGGAAATGAAGCAAGCCTTCATGCATTCATCAGCTCGCCTAATGATCCTTGGCTGCACTAGTGCTAGCTTGGCTCTGGGAATGCCCAGCGTGGACCTTGGGGGAGATATTCACAAATGGCAAGTGCTAGTTCAGAGACATCAGCAAAGTGACACTGGAGCATAAACAGGCGAAGCTAAGGAAGCCTAGGGAGAGAGAGTCAAGAAAAACCTTTAAGCTGTGTCTAAAAAAATCTTTCCAGGAAAAGAAAAAAGAAAGAGCACCTGCAACAGAACAAAAAAGCTATGCAAACAGGCTATGGGAAGTATGCCTATGTCTAGGTAAGTGTGAGGTTGGTGTTGGAGAATGACAGGATTAAGTTGCAGGAGGTAGAATCATGCTCTAAAGAGCCATGTCAAAATAAGTGTGGACTATATTCTAAAGGCAACAAGAGCCAGCAGACACTTTGAACAGCAATGCTAAATTAGCTTTCATTATTTAGGAATATAATTGGCAGTCTTATGTTGGATGAGCAGGACACTTAGTCAAAATGAGAAATAAGAATCGGACTTGGGTGGAAACACAGCATTTTCCTATTTTATTTCAGTCACTAATAAATGTCACAGTAATCTAGCAGTTGCTCTAACAAAACTATGTGACCAAGACATGTAAATGACACAGCCATGTTGCCGCTCTCACAGAGAGTGAACATGCATCCTGTTTCTTAAAAAGCCTTCATTTATTTATTCATTCAACAAATATGTGTTAAGCTCCCACTACGTGGCAGGTACTATGCAAGATTTCGGAGCACTGTGTTAAGCACTGATTGTCTAAAAATTCATTCGAAGCAACAAGTAGCACCATTTGTTCATAAGGTCAACGAAAGCAGAACAAAAAAATGACAGAAAATAAAGCAAGTGTCAGAGAAAGCAAGAAAAGAAAGAGTAATTCCTAAGAGATAAAAAGTGAAAATGAGGTTTAAGTTTAAGAAAGCAAGCATCTGCTTTAAGTAACCATTTCATTAAAAGTGCACTAAATTGTGGAGGTTCTCTCTCAGGAACTGCATTCTGTGAGCTGAGATTTCGTATAATAGGCTCCCACATGAATTCCTCTCATTACTTCTCTTGAAAGATCAGTAAATCTACTGAAAGGGTAATTTAGGTTTAGTGTTCACAGTCCCATTCATTTTAACTTTTAATCTTTCCTGTTTAGGATGTTAAAAATATGATGCAGATATAATCTAAAAGAGAAGAATTGGGCCCAAAATGAGATGATTTTAACTCCTCAAATGGTCTTGATATGGACAGATATGCCACAGGCTGTAGACTTTTTGCTTCTGATAGATGGTGATGGAGCTTGGCCAGTGTCTAGAGCACTGCACACTATTAATTGCAAGAACCAAGTAAAGGACAACATAGAAAAGATCATCTGTATCTCGCTCTCCTGAATTCCTTGGACATTCATGTGATTTTAATGACATCTCTTCTTTATTTCATTAAACTTTTTTTCACTATAATTCCATGGAAAGAAAGAGGTTTGAGAAATTTTGTCCAGGATATAAATAAATAAATTATTTGGGAAGACAAAAGTCTGGAAAATGAGACTATCAGTTATTAATTACAGGAATGTGATTTTATGACATTTTTCAAAAATGTGAGCCTGAAAAATCACTTATAATCAGTACTTTTCTGCTGTTAAACTGCCACCAGTATGATTTGTGATATTAAAAAAACAAGCAAGCAAATAAAAAAAAAATGCAACCAAACAACATCAACAACAAAATGCACTATCTTTCCGACAGTGCTATGTCTAGGGAAAAAAAAAAAAAAATCAAATCCTCCCTGATTTTCTGAGGCCTCACCTTAGATTTACCTTTAGACATATTCTGGGCCCATAGTGTTCACAGCAATTCCTGATTGTGTACCCCATTAAAAGACCTAAAAAATCCAGAGAGAAAGAAGCTAAAGTGGGCCCATCTTACCCACAGTGGCAAATATTAAAAAGCTTATTACTACAGTATTAAATTATATTGATTTGAAACTAAATTGTGGTTTATTAACATTTAGAGTTTGCTTTTATTTCCCAATTAAAAAAAAAAAATCAAAGGTTTTAAAGTTGCTTTTCCTGATTTGAGAGAAGTAAGCACTTAGTCTAGTGAAGAAGAGAAAATGAATTCAGTTAAGATTTAAAAGTAACAATTTATCCCAAAGAAATTAGCAGTGTAGGCATTTACTGGACAAATATCACATTCCTTGAAATAATTCTTATGACATTTTAATGCATTCTCGCTATGAAGCATTTCCTTGTAAATGTCTAAACCAGACCATGTCTTAACAATTATTTCATAAGAGAAAACTTCAGTACCCTCAGAAGTTCAGATTACAAGACTAAGGAAGGCAAAAAGCAAAACAAAACAGAAATTAAATAGCAGAAAGAAATGATCTAAAACATAGTATATAGTGTAGTGATTCACTGAAATAAATATTTATGATTTGAGTGATAAAAAGTTTACAATGACTTTGCACCCTTTCTATGAATGCTAAGAAGAAAAGAAAATTCAAAAGATATCTGGAAATTTGTCTAGTTTTTATGATTTTCATAAAACCCATTGGTCTATCTCAAAATAAAGGCAAACAACTGAATTCTTAAATAATTATCAGGATACTGCCTACTGAGAACAAACATCACTTTTTAAAGGTCTGTAATCTGGGATGCCTCTGTATGATTTTCATTACATAGTATTTCATGTGCTCAATTACTGTTAGAGAAAATTTTTGAGTTCTTTGATGATGTCATTTCAAGCAGCATGCATCTTATCTTATTCCAATCATCATTAGATTGCAAAATGGAAACTAAAGGGAATATTGGAGTTTTGCCATGTCATTATCTGAAAAATAAAAACCTCCTGATTTATTGTAAATATCAACCAGATCTTTACATGATCACAATAAAGGAAATCTTCCTTTCCAATAGAGTAAATTAAAGACAACATTAAGTAATGGAAGGTTTGTACCAGCCATTTTAAAGTATAGGAACATCACCTATCCCATGAACTAAAACATCTCAAAGATATCCTCCCCGGTACTCATTGATCTCCCTAACTGCAGGTTTTTCTTCAGCTGTGTTCTAATTGTCTTGCCCCCAACAAGAATCAGGTAATTGGAGCTTCCTTTGTGTTCTGTAACTGGGCTGATTAACAAAGATTCAGGCTGACTCTGCTCCCTGATGGTAGTGGTTATGGGAGGAATACGTCTTTGTTAAGTAAAGACACATGGCTTTGGGACCAGCAGTCTTTCAACTGAGCACTGACTCATTCTGTTGCCTACAGTGTTCTTAGGAAAAGAGCCATTCAATAAAGTCACATGAGATAATATTTTGATGGCTATCTTTTCATAATTCATTTCCCACAAGTTGCTGTTTCTTTCAATACGATTTTCTTGCCACAAAATACACCTGTCTCTGAATAGCAAAGCAACATTTCTGCTCAGTGATTATTTCTCCTATACTTTTAAAGATATGAGTTTGTGCATACTTAAATATTTTTAAATATCTTAGCTGCTAAATCATTATATGCAATATTAAATGTTCAACCCCTTTATTAGCGATTGTTAAAAACAAAACTTCTATGTGTTCCTTAAAAAAGGGCATGCTTGATTTCTGAATTGTTGTTAGATAAACTGTAAGGCCAAAAATGGGTCCTTTTACTGAATATGCAAAGTTCCCCCTTAAACCACCTTGAACTAGGCAGATTTGCAACATTTTAAACTGGCACTTCATCCCTCTTTCAGCAAGCATCCTCTGCAGATTTAATGATCAGGAACATCCTTCTGATGCATGCTGGGAGATATGGCTGCAGGGTACAGACCACAGCAGACAGTGTGTCAGATGAGGCAGAACTTCTTGTTAGGGGTGAGTATGCTAATAGTGCAGTCTGAAGACATGATCACCATAAATTATCATACAAAGGAATTTAAATGCATGGACTTTGAGCACATCAGTACTGTGCATTTTACTTTCAATTTTACAATATATGTTATTTTTGCTTAACCTTTTGCCTTTGAAAAAATTACATGGAAAACTGCTCCTTAGTAACAGACGAAAACCACCGAACTCACTTCAGACTCCAAAATACCTTTAGTAGTAAGTTGTCACTAAGTGTTTAACTAACCTAATGCCAAGGAGATAATCTAAACAGTTGAGCTACTAAGTCACTTGGACTACAGAGATAAAATTTGTTTGTGTGTATATATGTTTTTCAAATGAAAAGCTAGTGGAAGCCCCAGGCATTTTTTTTTTTCAACAACTTCTAAGTTGGACTTCCAAAAACAGAAAAACTGCATGTATAAGATGGTGACATTTTGCAATGGTTAAGTGACAAGGATTTTTTTTTAAGTCTGAAAATGTCAACATACAACCTCTCTGTGCAGAAATGACAGTTAAATGGTTTCCAATTATCAAACAGGACACCAAACTCTGCAATCCTAGGAAGCTACATCTTAAGCAAATGACTAGAACACCCCTTTCCTTTAGCACAGTATTCCACAGTATGGGAAATAGAGATCAGAGCATGCATTTCCTTCCTTCTTTCCTTCTTTCTTCCCTCCCTCTTTCTTTCCTTTCCTCCTTCCTTCGTTCCTTTTCTTTTAGCTTTTTTTGAAGTACAATATTTCCACATTTTCACCAATCATAAGCATACAAATGTATAACTTAATGAACAATGACAAAGTAAACACACCATATAACTATCATTCAATGTAAAAACTAGAACATTACCAGAATCCCACCAGGTGTCTCTTCATTTTTCATCTTATACAATTATATCTTGAGTAGTATGAGTATCGCATGCTTAGATCCCTTGTATGGTCTGTACGGAAAAAAACATTATCTCTATAGCAAGAAATTATATTTTAGATTAACTGGTCTTTTATTCATCTGAACTCTTTTACAATTTAAATATTAAAAATCTTAAACCGTAAACATAAGGCATAGAGTGAACTTCGTCATCTCTATGTTTTAGTTATATATATCACCAAATGTATATGGATTTTGGTAGTGCATTCATCATTGGTTCAAGTAAAATGTTTTTAAAGAAGTGTGTTATCTGGGTGATTGGTAGTTTGTTCATGTTTTGTGTGTTTCTGTTCAGAAGGCTACTTGATGTTTTCTTCAAATGTATACCTAGAATGTATATCTGTGTTACTTTATTATAAAACATCAACTTTTTAAAAGTATACATCCTTTCAATACATTCTATTCCATTTAGCTAAAAAGTTCTCTTTGTGCCTTCTGAAGTTACAAGGCTCACAGAACTGCAAACCCTACACTCAGTCAAATTCATAGAAAATTGCTTTCTCCTCTTGTTATGATCTGTTTTAGATTATGCATATTTACTGTGTGCACTTGCCTAGTAATTTAGAATGATGCTCTTAAAATTGGAGCTTTCCAAATGAATATCACAATTTAGAGACTGATAAGAAACCAGGTATTTTTACTGGACTATAGGGGGCAAATTTAAGTGGCAAACTAACAATCTACTTTGTAAGTAAAATTAAACTCAACAGGGTTTAGAATATAATTCAAGTTCAGCTTTCATGTTCTGCTCTTTTAGCCTTTGGCTTTATGCCTAGGAGATGATAAAATGCATAAATTTTGGGATTATACCCAATAGCAATTTCAAACAGGTTCCTTTTGTCTGAATATTCATGTAACATTCAGCTTAAGCTTTCACTTGAAGTGAGTTTGATCACGTCACCACTTTTCCATTATATATTTGCATTACTTTTCTAAAATTAGTAAAAGTATCTTGCCGTTTCTTCCTGGTGAGTCTTAGACAGATTTAAACACTGAACTAAGAGTTCTGGTTCTCTTTTAAAAAAATTGTGTACGTTTACAGCTCCTGGTAATTCAACAAGCTTTGATGTTTGAATATTGCTGTTTTTAATGTTGGCTTGTGAAATAAAATTCAAAATAGTTTTACTCTGCCACTCTCCCTTCTCACACTCCTCCATTTGTTGGTCTGTAAACTCATGGTATTCTAATAGTATATGCCACAGGACCAAAGCTGAGCATTCTAGTTGGAGCTTTTCTGATGATGGCTACAATTCTGGCAGCAGAATACTTAAAGCACAATTATTCAAATATGTGTCACAGAAAGATGGGGATAGTAAAAACAATTTCCCCATTCATCTTTTAGTAGAATACTAAAAGTAGATTGGCTGAGCAGTTCACTTTGCTCAATGTCTTCATCACAAGGAACATGCTTGGGTAGCAAGGATTATGTTCTTATTATTCTATTTCAGTGGGAATTTAAGGGAAAAAATATATATTTTCTTTGATGGATGAGAGCAACTTTTTTGTTGTCCTTCCCATGAGAGATAGTCTATAAAATTCTCTTGTACATTTTACCAACTCCTGCAATTCTTCAACCTTGCCCCACATGAACACTAAATTGGAACACAGGTGTGTAGCCACATGGCCTCATCATTGCCTATTTAGAATCTGAGTGTTTCTGAGTAGTAATGTTTCCTGATACTCTCCCCATTCACTACTTTATGGACTATTTTTTCCTCAACTGCTTGTTTGCACTTTTGCCTCATTTTGCTTGTGAACGTCAGTGCTATTTTTCACCTCTATCCCACCATGATCACCTTTCTCCAAAGATTGCTTTTTACATAAATAGTTAGCTGAAGTATAAAGTCACTTGCTCTCCCAAATTTAATATTCAGTGAACCAGCATTATCACAGCACCATGCATAATCTGGAAAACCATAACAGAATGATTATGTTCGAAAAAATTATTTTGCTGAAATATAAAAGGAAATTAAAGCCACACCTGGACATCTGTGCACCATTTTAGTCACTTAAGTGTGCTATAACAATAGAGAAAGCAAGACTAAACACTGCTCTAGGGAACCTTTTTAAAGATGAGTAGAACTCGATCATGCTATTAGTGAAAGGGAGGTAGATATGTAAGAGAGAATCTCACTGAGGAGGTTATACAAGTTGTTAAGAACCAATATTCTGAGACAGTATCAGAAGTGATCAAACACAAAGTAAAAGACTGTGGAGAAAGGAATTTTTTTTTGTTATTTTATTTTTCAGAAATTAATGTTAGAAATATGTTTTCCAAAGTAATTATAAGGGTAGAAAACTGTTTAAAGAACAAGATGTGCTTAGCTAAGCTAGGGTAACTAGGAATGACAACACGATCTTTCTATTCTGCCCGGAGGCAGACGAAGTGATAAAAATTCACTTTCTCATACAACTTCTCTATTTGTTTTACTCTGCTTCTTAATGCAAAACAGTAGGTCAAGGAACTCTGGGAATAGTCAAAGAATAATCAATAATCTCTTGAGTCCTTTTGAATACATAGCCTTTCCTCAAACTTGAATAATTTTCATTTCCTGAATTACAATTTACAAGATGAATCCAAAGTGTCTTTGTTAATAGTTGAATTTGAAACGAATGAATTAACCTCAGGATGTCACTTGTTGGGAGACATCTAACTGCTTTTAACCATCCACCTTGAACCCCACCCTATCACTTCTTATTCCTAACAGATTTCAACCTGGCTTTCAATTGAACTTTCTTCATCTGCCCAATCAATTCAGTTACATTTATTATTTCCAATAATTCTTTATTTCCTTGAATATCTAACTTTACTCTCTCCCAACTCAGCCACTTTTCACTGCAAAACTAAAATCATTAAAATTTTGACCGTGTTGTCAATAAAATAAGTCTACTGGTATTTGCTTATAATTTGCTATTCCTTTGTTCACCCACCTATTCATTCAGCACCTGCTCTGTGTCAGGCACTGAAGTCGGCGCTCAGAGTGGAGAGGTGAGGAAGTTGAGGTCTCAGCCCTCATCTGGCTCTACATCCACTAGTCCTCCGGTGTGAGGCGCCTTTGGAATTAGAGTGAGATGTACCACGGAAGTTCACCTGGGTACATTCTCAGTTTCACAGAGGAAATAGTGAGAGATTAGGATAAAACATAAGCAGAGCTGTGAGGCTGGATATGTAATCTATGAAGAACAATGCCAAATGGAAACACAGGACCCCTTGTTGAAAATTATTAATAATTTCAAGACAGTGACAGAAAGGCATTAATCTAAGCATTGGGCCCCGAACTTGGAAGGTTGCAGATCTTGAACTGCACAGCTCACACACCCAGGAAGCTAGCCCTAACAAATTATATTATTCATCTACAAAAATAAAAGCATGTTAGCAAACAGACGGGGCAAATCACAACAAAGTAAAGTTTTTTCATCTATAAAATTAGATATAAGAGCCTACATCAGCAGTTTATTAGCTTTACACACACACACACACACACACACACACACATCTTTATTTTACTCCATGAGTCATATTTTGAAAGATTTTGTTGATTGTGTTGATGTAATCACTAATTTATGTTTCTATTTTTAATTCCAGCCAAAGCCTTCTATCATCATAAGATAGACAGTGCTACCAAACTATATAATTTAATTCCAGCCAACATCAAAGCTAACTTACTTTTTAGCTAGTTGTAAAGTATGATTGGTTTGTTTGTTTCAAATGGTTGAAAGTAACCGGAAGAAACCAGTTTTTACCTGGATAGAAACTAATTTAGGCACCTTTGATAAAGTATCTCTAAATTCTGTCTAAGCGCAAATCTTTAGTGATTCTCACTAGCAAGAGAGGAAAGTTTGAGAGTTTTCCGCCTATGCCCTTGGAAAAGATGCAAGTACTGTCACTGTCCCAAATGCAATGGGAAAATAAAGCTCAGTGAAAACCTTGAGCATGTTTCTAATATATTGTTAGTTTATTTGAGAGTTGAAGCAGTATTAAAGTGCTCTATCTTCACATTTCTCACTGCACTACCCTTGTGATCCATGTAGATTCTAAATTGATGTAAATGTCTATT